AGTTGGGAGTATGGTGAGACTGTTATAGAGTCTGGGGACTTAAAGTTGGGCTTAATGCCTTCCTGCATTATGATATGGTTACAAGTCTGTGTAGGCCAAGGAGTGGAATGTGGTGGTTTGAAAGAAAATGACCCCAATAGGCTCAAAGTGAGTGGCACTATTAGGAGGTGTGGCCTTGTTGAAGTAGGTGTGACTTTGTTGGAAAAAGTATGTCACTACATGGTCCTCTGGAGAAGGGGAAAGCATCAAGATCTCCTGAGCAAATTGGGAACTCGGGAATGGGGGAAGGGAGCTAGAGAATGAGAAGGGGAGAAGAGGAGGGATGCAGAGGACATGAGGGAGCAGAGAGGTTGAGTTGGGGGAAGAATAGAAGAAAACAAGAAAACAGTTACCATAATAGAGGGAGACATTTTAGGTTTACAGAGAAATCAGGCACTGGGGAAAGGTCTGGAGAGCTACAAAGATGACACCAACTAACAATCTAAGCAACAGAGGAGAGGCTACCTTAAATGCCCTCCCCTGATAATGAGATTGATGACTGTCTTATATGCCATCCTATAGTCTTCATCCAACAGCTGGTGAAGTAGAAGCAGACACCCACAACTAATCACTGAACTGAATTGGAATCCAGTCGCAGAGTAGGATGAGTGAAAAGCAAAGGGGTCCAGACCAGGCTGGTGAAACCCACAGAAACAGCTGACCTGAACATCAGGGAACTCTTGCTCCCCAGACTGATAGCTCGAATACCAGCATGGGACTGATCCAGACCCCAGGAACATAGGTTTCTGTGAGGAAACCTTGGAAATCTACAGGACCTCCTGTAGTAGTTCAGTACTTATCCCTAGCATAGGTATGGTCTTTGGGAGCCCATTCCATATAGAGGAATACTCCCTGAGCCAAGACACATGGGGGTGGGCCTAGGGCCTATCCTAAAGGATACGATAGACTCTGATGACAACCTATGGAAGGCCTCACCATCCATGGGGAGCAGAAAGGATATGTGATAGACAGTTGGGGGGGGTAGGGGAGGACGGGAAGGAGAAGGGAACTGGGATTGTCATGTAAAACAATCCTGTTTCTAATTCAAATTTTAAAAAGTTGAAAAAAAAAAAAGAAGTATGTCACTAAGGGGCAGGCTTTGTGGTCTCAAATGCTCAAGCCCTGTCTAGTGTGACATTCACTTCCTGCAGCCTGCCAATCCTGATGTAGAACTCTCAGCTGTTTTTCCAACACCATATCTGCCTCCCTGTAGCCGTAATGATAATGAATTAAATCTCTGAAACTATAAGCCAGACACAATTAATTTTTTTTCCTTTATAAGAGTTGCCTTGATCATGGTGTCTCTTCAAGCAATAGAAACTTAGGTAAGACAGGAAGAAGCAGGGTTATTTGGCTTACACTTCCATATTGCTGTTTATCATCAAAGGAACTCAAACAGGGCAGGAACCTGGAGGCAAGAGCTGATGCACAGGCCATGTAGAGGTTCACTGTATTGGTTCACATGACTCACTCAGCCTGCTTTCTTACAGACCCCAGGACCACCAGCCCAGGTATGGCACCACCTACAATAGACTGCCTGCCCTTCAATTGCTACTTAAGAAAATGCCCTACAGGGTTCCCTTCTCACAGATGGCTTTAGCTTGTGTCAAGCTGACATAAAAGTAAACATGACAGGTAGCTCTAAGAGGCTTAATTCTTCATTTACAAGACGTACAGTACTGAACCTGCCACTAAGGCTCAGTTTCCTTTCCTGTCTGTTCCACCTCAGCTCCTTAGGATCTTGTCACCACTAGCTTTCAAAAGCTTTTCTTTAGTCTAAGCATAAGCACTGGCTCCCAGTGAGGCATTAATTTAATTAATCTTATCAACAAAAAATAGAAGTCAGATATGGGGATAAAAACATGAAAGATCAGAGAAACTGGGGAACAGCCACAGTCACTTCTTACCTCTTCAGTTCCTCCATCCAAAAGGGCTGAAATCGTCTCTCTGCCCAGCCTTACTACTTCCTGTCTCTTCTCTCTACAGTCCTCCAAACCTCTATGGTTAGCTAGTGGCTAGCTCTGCCCTCTGATGCCAAGCAAGCTTTATTTGTCAGAACACAACCAAAATATCATACAACATCTCAGTGAGGCTGACCGCAGCCTCAGCTGGAGGTAGGCTCTCACCACCTTGAGGCCACCTCTACCACAGCACTTATCATTTCTATTGTCATTACTTGCTCACGGGCACATCACTGTAAGTTGTTCTCATCTTTGTGTCATGCCCAGCACAGAGTTACTGTTTAATTAGCATGGTTGGTTAATTCTTGTCTTGTTGAGTACAGTATTCCTTTACCCCACAAACAAATTTCGTGAATCATCATTCTTCCAGTAGAGATAAGGGAATCTTGACTTTAAGTCATCACTCATGTTTAATTTATTCCTAATAACTGATGATTTAGATGCTATAGTTACTGACACAGAAAACTGAGGCTTAGTGAGTCCAGTATTGTAAGCCTTGTAATTGTCTGAAACCTCGTACATAAACTCAGAATGTCAAGAAATGTAGAATTAAACCTACTGGTCAAGTTCTATGGGGTAGGATAGAGCAGTAACAAGGCATCTGAAGACAGCATATAGCAAACACAGCATGGACGTGGCAGCCAAATGATGTGAGGTGGAGTAGGGCAGAGAAAAAGAGTAAGAAGACGGCATTCAATAGAACATGGAAAGTGGTAGCCAATCATTGTGGGGTGGGGTAGGGCAGTGTGGGAGAAATGGTGGTCAAGCAGTGTGGTGGGGTAAGGCAATGAAGGGGAATAAGAAGACAGCACTTGACAGGACATGGGACATGGTGGGAAAATACTGTGGGTGGGGCAGAGAGGTGCAGAGAACACTGGATTTCAAAGAAGCAAAGGACTGGGTTTGGCCAGGCTGCTTTGGTAGAGAGTGCCTGGTGGTCAGGTAGCCTGGTTTATGTGTCTGGAGCTCTGTGTGAAAGCTTGAAAAGCCATAAAGACTGAGGGTTTCTATGTAGTCAAAACCCAACTTGTGAGGGGCAATGAGCAGAGAAGAATCTTGGGCACCCAAGCATATAAAGGATGGAAGAGAGAAAGTGTCCACAAAGAGTACTGCAATGGAGAGGAAAGACAATTAAATATGAAAAGCAGGTGCTGTCCAGCTACTATAGAAGTTCCTGGAAAAATTAAAAATATAATTGGGTGTATACTCCAAAGAATCTAAGTCAGCAAACCACAGACGTGTACCTACATTCATATTTATTATGACACTACTCACAATAGCCACATTATGAAATCAGACTAGGTGCCCATTAACAGATCAAAAGATGGAAAAAAAAACAAGTAAAGTGTGCACAATGGGATATAGTCCTTCAGAAAGAAAAATTAAATAATACCATGTACTGGGAAATGGATAGGACTTGAGATCATACTAAGCTAAATAAGTTAGACTAAGGGAGAAAGGTGTCATACACTTTCCCTCATGTGTGAAATGGAGATTTTAAAACACAGATTTGAAAGCACTAAAGAGGCTCCTTGGGGACAAGGAGACAAGTTGTTGGAGGGACAGGAATGTGATCAAAATACATGGTATACATATATGGAAAATACTAGAGTGAAACTCACTTTTTCAATAAACAGAACAATTACAGAAAAGGAGGATTATAAAATGTCACAGACACATGAAGCAGATACAAACAGAAAAGCAGCCAATGTTTTAGTAGTGAAGTATGGAGTGCTGGCTGTAGGGGCATGAAAATGCAATTTCCATTAATTAAAGAGGAAACAAGTCTTGGAAACAAATACAATCTACTGCCTCAGTCCTGGAAGGATAAAAACATTGCAGTGGTTGGGGGTGGCCTGCCAAGTCAGGGAATGGTCACTCTAGTTAAACATGAAAATGTGGAAGTCATTTACTGAGAAAACCTAGCTGGTAGAATAGCTTTGTCTTCTGGCAGTGCCCTCTGCCTTGTTTCTCTTCTATTCTAGCTCCCTCACCTGCATCCATCTTAAGCAGTATCTCCTCCCTCTGATGATGCAGTGACCAAATGCCCCAGCTTTCCTGACCATCTGAGACATGACTCATCCCCCTGACAGAATTTTGGCAATCTATTTCTAGACATGAAACCACATTTTAGCAAGAGATACAGGCTGGCGCCTCGTCATCCCAGTCCTGTTGCTCAGTGTTGCCTTCAGGTTTTTCAGGGTAGACAAAGCAGAGAGGACGGAAGTCCTCTGGGGAGCACTTGATGTCCAAACCCTTGGTGTTTATCTTCCTAGAAGTCACCCTTGTCTGCCATTGAGCAATGGCCCCAATGGGGACAAGTTCTGTGTAAGCCCAACTGAGCTCGGGACTAAGGAGCAATTTTTATTTCATTTTAATTCATTTAAATTGAAACTGCCAATCGCTACCCCCTTGTGCCATTGACCATCTGAACCCCCAGTCCAACCCCATATCACTCCCCACCTCCACTCTCATGCCAGCCCTAGCGCGAGAGTGATATCCTGAGCCTTTCAGAATGGTACAAGCCAGATAGATCCCCAGGACGATCAGGTCACTGTCCCTGTGTACTGAATGGATGGTAATGGGTGGCACTGCTCTCTCCAAGAGGAACCATACAGGACAATTAGAGAGAGCTGAGAGTGAGTACGAAAATGTGATAGGGTCAAGATGAGACCCAAGGCTAAGAATATAAAACAAATGGAGGGCGGGAGGGAGAGGTGGAGCGGGAAATGAAGGAGACCAGACAGCACTGTCGACTTCACACTCACACGAAATCCCAGCAAGCTCCCAAAATTCCCACCCTTCCCTCCTTCCCCTCATTGCTGTCAAATTGGTAGAAGGACCACCGAGCATCTCCTAGTGCACACTCCTCATTTTGGTAGACGAGGGAACAGGGTGCAGATGACTGGAATCATAGATTCAACTTGTAGCTGAGTCAGGAGACCGAGTCCTTCTCACTCTCAACCCCGTGTCCCCTCTTCCCACCCCCAACCAGCTCCCCTAGAGGAAGCTGGAGCGGCCTCGGAAGAACTGCAGATAGACAATAACCAGGCAGAGGACACCCCAAAACAGACACCAGCGAAATGAGAAGAAGTTGTAGACAAAGCTGCCCTGGGCTTTCCTCTTGGAGGCATCGGTATAGGAGGCGTCCTCCTCCAGCAGCTTCTCGCTGGGCTTCCAGTGCACGATGCCTTCCTGGCAGGCCTCGCAGAACTCGCTGCGGTGCAGCCCGCTGTCCGGCCGGCTGGCCACGTGGATGCGGTACTGGCCGCCATCTTCGTCGTAGCACTGCTCGCGCAGGCTGGTGATGAGGTTGTCCACCAGGCCCTCGATGTTCTCCTCCAGCATGCTCGACTCATCCAGCCGTGAGGTGCCACACTGGTAGCACAGCTGCTTGAACACGCGCATGCGCACCGAACCAACACGCTGGGCACGGTCGAGGTGCATGTGGAAGAGGATGACTACATTAGCAGACTGCCAGGTGTGCCAGCACCAGGAGCAGTGGAACCTGCCAGGAAACGAAGAAGGAATAGAGCAGGTGAGACTCACGGACAGCCTGCGCTGGGGAGCACAGGAAAGAAATGGCCAGAGTATTAGAGACCGAAAATTGAAGCCCGATGTTAACCAGTCTGTGGATTCAATATCACTAGAGGTCACCAGCTACCACTGCTCCTGCTGGTCCCCCTGATGTAGTGATATATTGTTTGTAATCTAATAAATAAACCTTGCCTGGAGATCAGAAAGGCAAAGCAGCCAAGTCACTAAGGAGTTCTTACCTCTAACAAGGCTAAAAGGGCTATCCTGTCTCCATTAAACCTCAGCTCCTCTTCACCAAGAACCTCAAACTGCTCTTGAGACTGCACTGAGTTCCTGCCTTGCATTCTCTCTAGTGTGAGGGTTAAAGGCATGAGCTGTTTCTCTTCTAGACTGATTCGCTTTCATGTAGCCCAGGATGACTTTGAACTCACAGAGATCTATCTGCCTCTCTCTGTCTCCTGAGAGCTGAGATTAAAGGTGTGGCCACCACTGCCTGTCCTCTATGGCTTGCTAGTGGCTTAGCTCTGCACTCTGATCTTCAGGCAAGGTTTATTTGTTAGATTACAAACAATCTATCACCCAACTCTGGGGACCAGAGTAGCATGCTTAGGAGCCTAACACAGGAGCCACTGGGCCCCTAGCCAGCAGTCATCTGGAAGCTGCCTCCTGTGTACCATCCTACAGCTTCTGCCCTACTCCCAGCCTTGTGCAGAGTTGCATCTGGTCAGCCTGCAAAGAAAGTATGGCTCCTCTTCTCTGCAACTCGTTTCTCATTTGCTGGCTGCAGTGTGATGGTGATCATGCTGGACTTTGTGCTCAGATATCCCTCTGGAAGGGGGGCAGCAATGTCACTGTCTGACTCCTGAATCTTGCTTGCTCTGAGGAGATGACACGCACACTTAGATCCCAGCACATTGTAGGGCTGCAGTAAGCTAGCCAGAAAAGCAGGGTAGATAGGCAACCTGCAACAGACCGGATCACAAAGAACGATACTTCCGGTTCTTACACCTTGCTGAGTCATCCCTAGGTACCGCAGAAGTCCTGTGTGAGAAGAAGAACAGACTTTGTGTCCTCACATACCTACCCCCAACCCAACCTTCACACAGGCCACTTTGTCTAATCTGGACTCATAGAGCCACAGCCTCAGAAAGCTGGAGGGCAGTAGCCTGGCTCTCACTTGCCAAGCCCTGCTCCTCCTAGCCTCCGAATAGTGTTAACATGTGGTGGATCAGTCCTTAACTCCAGGGTGGCCTATTGTGCCCCTGCAATGGCCTCTTGTAAGCCCCTGTTTCCAAAGGCTTGTCCACTGGGCTGTTTCTGTCCTCATAGCTGGCTCTGCCCAAGTCCATTGCACAATGGCTTCAAAAGGACCTGTGATGAAGGACTCAGTTCAATCCCACCAGCACCAACTGTATTTTAAGCTCTACTCAACCACTGTGGAATCGCAGTGAAAGCAAGCCAGCCTCTGACCCTTGGAAAGCACTGAAAATATGAGCATAGAACAACCCCTGGGGCACCCAAGACATGGCCAAAAGGGAAGGGGAAATCTGATTGGTCCTGGATTGGGAGGCTTCCACTCTTCTCCCCATCCCTGTATGGGGCCAGTACTGTTGGGCCTCAGATTTAACACAGCTGAAAGACGAAAAGCAAAGAGCCTGCCTGCACAGGATGACTGTGCTTCAGTTCCTCCTGAGGCCAGCTGGTTCTAAGGCCCGGAGGGAGATTTGTGAGCCTTTTACACTGTCCCTAAACTCCAGAAGCCTCACATACTCACTCTCAGCCTTTTGAACACCGCCCTCCTTCGTGTTTTATATCTCCTTTACCTTTTAAAATAAGCCAGTCCAGGATTATATCCCCTGTCTCAAGCCAAACCCCTCATTTCCAGAAGAATCCGACATGGGTGAGCATTTAGGAAGAGATGAGACTGAGGTGTAGAAAATAAGAGATCACACAGCTAATTAGAGAGATAGCCAACACCCAGTGTCCATAACAGGCACCAACACAAACCTACCAACCTCTGTTCTCTGACCTATGTCAATACAGGTTCCATCTATTAGTTTGTAAGACCAGTGGCAAGGCTGCAGATGCCCAGTGCCCACCCACAGCCTGACTCTTTCTGCTCCCACCCTAGTGCTGTTCTCTACCCAAGAGACTTCACACCCATCCACTATGGACAGCCCAGTCTCTGCCATATTTTGGTCACACCTCCACAGCACAGCCACCAGGTGGTCTCATGTGAATCCAAATGCCCAAAGAGGAGAAACGGTTAGCTCCTGCAGGTGGGCTGGAAGCTGTGTGAGCAGGAAACTATGGCCCCAGTCCCAAATCACCATTCTGTAAGAGGGAAATGATGTCAGGGCTTTAGAAAGTCACATGGACACCTTGCATGGTGGGAAGTGAGGAACACTTAGAAGGTGGGAAGTCTCTATTGTCTGAGGCAGGTGGGAGAGCTAGCCCTGTGGTCATAAGAGTGGGAGAGCCATCCCTGCCCCCTACCAACTGCAACACTCAGGAGAGCACCTCACCAGGACAGCACAATAGAGACAACCCTGTTAGTACAAGTGAGCCAGCCCCGAAACTGTGAGCATGGGAAAGCTGTACCCATTACCCATCTGTCTTCTGGTGGCAAGGATAGGGGAGAGTTGTCCCCTCCCCACTGCACCCATTAAGGCCTGGAACAGGTGGGAAAACTGGTCCTGTGGTCATAAGAGTGGGAGAGCCAATCCTGTTATTGCAGGTGTGGGTGAACCAGACCCTGAAGCAAACATGGGAGAGCAGTCTTCATTTCTCATCTGGCGGGCCAACCCTGCAGCTGCCCAGGCCTACACCCAGAGTTATGACTTGGCTCACACCAACATCCACCCCATCTGTGATCTGCTGGAGCGCATAAAGGAACCTGACCCACAGACCCAAAGCTGAAGGATCTCCACAACACAGGACAACAACAGAATATCCAGGAAGAGTTCTAGTGAGGGCCCACCATCGGTAGTGTAGTAGAAACCAGAGGCCTCAAACCAGACCAATGACTTGCACATGAAGATATATGGACAAAGGGGTTTACAGGGTTACTCTCTGTAACACACTGCAGCTTCCATGATGAGATTTTTTTGTTTTTTTTTCCCTTTTTTTATTTTTTCCTTCATCTTTTAAATTTTGTTTTATGGGGGGTGGGTCACAGGGGTAGAAGGTGGATGTAAGGAGACAGGGAAAAGAATGGGATCAAGATAGATGATGCAAAAGACATAGAATTATTTTTCAAATACATCATAAAATAACAAAAAGAGAGAGAGAGAGGAGAGGGAGGAAGGGAGGGGTGGAAAAAGGATGAAAAGAAAGAAAGAAAGAAGGAAGGAAGGAAGGAAGGAAGGAAGGAAGGAAGGAAGGAAGAAAGGAAGGAAGGAAAAGAAAGAAAGGAAAGTCTAGGGAAAGTCCTGTCGGGGTCAGCAGTTTTATTGCTCATCCACGGATAGTAAAGTTGGAAGGAATTTAAGCAATGTGCTAAGATGAACTAAGATGAACCCCTTGTTTTGTAAATGTGAAAACTGGAAGCCAGAGAAAGTAAAGAACACACCCAAGTCCAAGAAGCTGTGGAACCATGTTCTCAAACATACCATGTGCTCAGTAACTTATTCTGACTTCCTGTCCCATTGCATTTGACTGAGCAGACAGATGCCAGAGCCCCAGAGCACAAGTTCCCCAACTTTGAGGTTGAGAACTCTGGCAATCCTCATGGCATCTCCTCTCCATCCCAACTACACCGAGCACCTGGACTTTCAGGGCACCTAAGTATTATCACTCTTAGTTTTCTGGGGAAAACTGAGACCCAAATGCAGAACACAATTTGCTCAGAGTAACCGAGGAATCTGAACTGCTGTGATTAGAAGCAAAGCCTCGGTGACCATCTGTTCTCTGCTTGCCGCCCCAGCTGACATGGAGGTGAGTCTGTGACCTTCTCCCCCGAGGCGGGGGGGGGGGGGGGGGGGCCACTGCCTGTGGGCCCCTCCCACCAGCCTCTCACCTGCCTGAGGCGTGCTGCTCCAGATATTGTTTCCAGCCTGGACCCAGTTCGTTGGGCTTGAGGTTGGGGTCTATGATGAGCTCCCAGCTGTCAGCTGGCTTTGCTACCTCCATCTTCTCATAGAAGACTTTCTTCCACTCACAAGTGGTTAGACTGGTGGACATGGTCCGATTGGCCTAGATGGGTATGTGAGTTCAATCTGAGGAAGAACACAGAAAGCTTGGGCAGATGCAGCTCAGCAGTCTCTGTGGTCCAAAAAGGCTTACCCACAAGACCCAGCTCCCTCTTTTGTCACCTTGGAAGCTGTTGCTATGACAGCCAGGCAGGTACCAGGAACCAGAGCTAGGGAGGAGGAAAGTCCCAAGTGGGAGTTTCAGGGTCCTGAACTAGACCATAGAGGCAAACTGAGTAGCAACACTGACCAGGTGGAAAAAGCCAGTAGGAGATGAGCCACAGTTCAAACTGCCCAGGGCTGACAGAGGTTCCCAGGCTATGTAGTGGCCCTGCTCACACCACTCCTCTTCTGCACTTTCTTCTGCTGTGTGCTATGGCAACCATAATACCCTAGGGAGCCCAGGAGAAACAGGATGGAGATGAGGGACCTGATGCTCTCACAATCCTGATGCGCTGTGACCACTGTTTGTTTTGTGCCAGGCACAAGCTACTTGACCCATGCATTATCCAAGGCAGATCAGGAAACTGGCTTACATAACCTCCCAAGAGCTCATCCACAATTCAGATCCAGGCCTTCCTAAACGATACCTAACTCTTTGATTATTGCAAGAGTACTAAGCTTCTAACAGTGATTAAGAGAGGAGTGGCATGCAGCTGTTCCCTGGCGAATTCTGGATCCAGTTGGTGAGATAGAAGTAATGTAATACACCATGAAAAGCACAATGATGGCAATTCAGACTACACAGTTGCAACATTCACTCCCTGCTCCCAAGGCTCACCAAGGCTGCTGGGAGGGGAACTAGTTCCTTCTGAGCTGCAGGCTGCTGCTGCCTCAGCTACTGCAAAGCAAGCAACAGAGCACCTCAGCTCCCTAATGCCCAAGTTAAATTCTTTAGAGACCAAAGGGACTTAACTTCACATTTGCATAATCATGGGAAGGTGACCCCCAACCAGCAAAGGGGAGGCAGTCTTGGGCAGGGAGGACACCAGAAGGTGTGGGGTTATACCTGGACTCTGCCCAGAATGCTGTGAGGTTTCTGTAATGCCTGTAGTTCATCAGTTGTCAGTTCTTTAACCCAAAGCTCTGCCTCCCTAGAACCGTGGAGACTGTAAAAGTGGGCAGAACTTGGAAGGGTTGTTAGGGGCTAGGAGTTATAGGTGCTGCAGGGTTCCAGATTTGTCACGAGCCTCCACCTGGTTTCCATGTGAGGTGAGGTTAAGAGCAGTGCCACTGGGTGTCCTTCAGAGTAGAGAAGTGGTCTTCCAGTAGCTTTGTGTTAACAGCCTCAGAAAAGATGAAGCTGTGTTGTAAAGCCATGAAGAACTACCAATTTCTAGTTTGTCTATTGGCCTCAACTCAAATCCCCACACTCCATCCCTCTCTTCCTTTTCCTTTTCTTTTTATTTATTTCCTTTTTGAAAAGGTCTCACTACGTAGCTTGGCTGGCCTGGGACTCACTATGTAGACCACACTGGCCTGGAACTCATAGAGATCCACCTGCTTCTGTCTTCCAAGTTGTGGGATTAAAGGCTTGGGCCACCACACCCAACCTAAATCTCATCATAGTGAATCAGGACAACTGAAGCCTAGAAATAAGTAACTGCTCCCAAAAGGAACCCTGGACTGGGTGGCTCACTGGGACTGCCCTGTAATCAGCTACAAAGCAGGTGACATGCGGGACCCTTGAATTCCCAGGAACTGAAGGAAGCTGAGAGATTTGGCCTGACCTAGAGCTATAGGCCATGGTCCAATTCTGAGACATACTATGCTATTATTCCCAGGCCAAATGGCAGTGAAGGAAAAACAAAAGGACAAAGAGAATTGCCAAGGTTCATCTGTTTTGCTTTGTTCTGTTTTCCTCTCAGATGATGCAATCCCCTTAGGCATAGGATCATACTTAAGTCAGAATGAAATCCTCCAAGCAGAGGCCATTGCCATTCATCTTTGTATACAACGAAGTTCTTTGCCCTGGAAAGTTTTTCTTGGGATATCATCAATGAGTGTAGCAATTACTATACAATGAGTGTAGCAATTACTGTACAACGAAGTAGCAATTACTACCTCAGTTTTCTCAGTGAGGTGCTGGCTGCGCCATTAAAAAGCTCTCCATGTGGGTGCATTGCTCACTGGCAACTCACAGTTCAGAGCTGCCTTATCATCTGGGTGATATTTGTTATAATGAACTAATTTTAGTCTTAGTAAAATAGCACTGCCCAACCCTATCCCACAAGCAAAATAGGCCACTCTTATACTTTTATATGGGATGTCAACTAATAAGTACTTTTGTAAAATGTCCATTATTCAGATTCTACTTGTTAGAATACCATATGACACATCAGTGTGGAAGCTAACATGACAAAGCAATGAAGAGCTGGGGAAGGATTTAAATCAAAATCATCTGGAAACTGCTTCCTAGAAAGTATAGCAGTGCCCTTCAGGGCACACAGTCGCTCTCTGCCAGCTCCATGCTGGGCCGAATCCCACCACAACTGGCCATTGTTACTGATGGGCATGTGCTAACCCATGGGATACCAAAAGTTCAAGTAAAATAACTTAATGGTGTAGTGAGAAGCCACGAGAGTCTGTTAAAGGATCTCAAGAATTTATTTAGGTACAGGATAGGGACAAACATTCACTGGTACAGAAACAACTAGACAATACTGATGATCCAGCTGCCTTCATCCAGTCGTTCTGCCCAGGGGTGAAGAGCATCAACAAACAGCAAGCTTCCTGCTTCATTCCAACCACCCGAGAGAGCAAGAGAGAGAGAGAGAGAGAGAGAGAGAGAGAGAGAGAGAGAATGTGTCTCCTCAGCTTTTAAGTTTTAAAAGTTTCTAAGTTTTAAGACAAGAACACATCCTGGGGCTTGCTGCCCCAAAGGTCATTAGCTATATGGATTAAAATCCCACAAAATAATGGCTTATGATATTTCTAAACAAATCCAGGGAAACAAAAGCTGTGTTATACCTCCCTGTTTCTAAGTTCAAAGAAACTTCAAAGGTCCTGGGTGGGCCCCTTTCGAGTTATTTTGGAAAGCTTCTCCATCAACAGACCATAGCACTCAGGTCCATGATTCACTTTAGGTGAAAGTGACCTGTGAATCTTAGGATAGTTCACCTGGTCACAACAGTTCACAGGCATCCAACAGCGGTGCCTAGTGAGAAAGACATGTTGCCCACAGTGCCCTTTCATCAGTGAGTAGCCAGAGCAAACAGATGCTGGCCAAATTCTATCACCACTAATATATTCCAGGACTTCAGCTTTTCCTGCCTTCTTCCAGCCCCCATAGGCTCATAACAAGCTATGATTAGACAAGAATAGAGAGTTATGGTGTGCACTTACACACCAGGTGACTAAGGATAATGATGCTATACTGGATATTTCAAAAAGTTAGAAAAAAATTACTTTGAATATTCTCACCATAAATAAGTAATAAATTCTTGAGGCAATTGTCTTAATTTTAACATTACTCAGTATGGACATGGATCTAAATGTCACATAATAGCCTCAAATAATTTTTAACTTTCACATATTTATTTAAGTCAATTTCAACTTTTAAAAAAGCAGACTGCCTGGTCTATGGATATGTCTCATTAGTAGAACACTTGCTTGGATAAATAAGGCCCGAGCTTGAGCTCCAGAACCCTTACAGAAAAGAGTGGTCATGATATGTCTAGTTACACTCTACTAGCTACTTTTCTATTGTTGTGATAAAACACCATGACCGAGGCAAGTTATGAGAGGAAGGGTTGATTTGGGCCTACCATTCCAGACATGATGGCCGTGTGAAGGCGAGGCAGCAAGAGCAGGAAACTGAGAGCTCACATCTTGAATGGAGAGAAGTAGAAATGGCTCAAGCCTTTTAGCTCCCAAAGCCTGCCTCAAGTAACACCCTTCCTCCATGAAGGCCACATCGCCTAAGCCTCTCAAATAGTGTTATCAACTGGGGACCAAGTGTTCAAATGTCTGAGGCTACAGGAACATCTCACTCAAACCATCCCATATACCTAGGCAGAGACCCAGTAAAGGATCATGGCACTACTTATGGATGAGAAAACAAAAGATTAGGGAGGGAGAAAGGGGAAGCTCTATGCAAGGACAAGGGGCAGGAGTCAAGTGAGAAGCACTGAACAGGTAGAGCTGGTTCGAAGTTGAAGGACTCCGTCCCGTTTCCTTGGCTATATTCAGATGCTGCTACCTGAGCTGGGTATTATACACACAAATCATTATGATTCCACTCTGGGACAATGCCAGCAGGCATCGTGGTGTAGGGAAAGAGGAACATAGGGTAGCTTGCGCTAGCTTTTCAGGCATTCATTCTAAACTGACATCAGCCTCTTCCTGTGCTGATTTGGATGAGAAATGTCCCTCATAGAGTCATGTATTTAAATCCTTGGTCTCTGGTTGATGACACTGTTTGGGAGGTTATGGGAGTGCAGTCTTGCTGCAGAAAGTATGTGACCATGGCAGGGCTTTAAAGGCTTATAGTCTTACTCTACTTCTTGTTCTCTCTCCTTCCTCTCCCTCTTCCTCCCCTCTCTTGTCTCATGTCTCAATGACCAGCTGCCACTCCTGCTTCTTCACTTTCCCTGACTGTTGCCATGCCTTCTCCACCAATGATGGACTCTATCCCTCTGGAAGCACAAGCTAAAATAAACCTTTTCTTTCTGGAGTTGCTTTTGGGTTATGGTATTTCATCTCATCTCAGCCACCAAAATGTTCCCCACCCGAAGCAGCTAACTTGATAAAACAGTGGAAAGACATTTTAAAGACTAAGTTACTGTGCCAATTAGGTAGCAGCCATCTTGTGTGGCTAGGGCAGGGCTCTCCAGAAAGTGGTATGTGCTCTGAAGCAGCAGCTAGTACATGGTAATATCTCTCCTATAGCCAGGATCTACAGGCTCAGGAACCAGGGTTAGAAATGGAAATGGTCCCCAACTCAGGTAAATGGCAACCCACTTGGAAAATTTATGTTTCCTGACCTTATGGTCTGCTGGCCTAGCA